GATCTCTCCCGCCCACCCCTCATCCAAAACCTGCAGCCTCCCGGTGCTGCCCAAGTCCTGGGCTGCTCTCCTATGAGACAGTTCTGGTTACTATAGCAACTCCGAAAGCGGGGCCTGGCTGGGGCAGGTGCTGACAGTCTGGCAAGGCCCAGGAGGAAGGGATGGGGGGCGAGGGGCTGGGCCTGCTGGAATCCAGCCGCAGGGTTACCCCGGCACTTGGCATATTTGCATTTCAGAAGCCCCCTCCCTCTGGGTGTTGGCAAAAACCCCACAGACACAGCCAGCTTCCCTGCCCCCCACCTGCATCTCCCATGAATATTTCATGGGCTTTCCACGGGGCCCAGCCGAGCAGAAGGAGGATATTGATTTTGGACCTTGCCATTTGCGTTGAGAGCTCAGGGCCGGCGCCTTCCCGCCAGTCCTGCAGGCCGGGCTGGGAGGAGAGGGACGCTCCGACTGCCGCCCCCTTGGCACTAAAGCTGCACCCTGCCCGGGTCGCCTCCCTCCAGGCCCCCAAGCACAGCACAGCAGGGGACCGGGGCGTGGGCACACCGCGCTGATTGTCCCTGCAGGGCTCGTGAGAATTTGGCAGTGCTCCTGTGCAAACCTTTAGGTGAATGATGGTTGACACCCCCTCCCCGCAGAGGGGTGGAAGTTGGGGGGGTCTCCCCTGTACCCCAGGGCAGAGGGTCCACCCTGCCGAGCAGCAGGCGCGGGAGTTAAAGGAGGCTGTTGTACTGCCTGGGGTACCGTGACACTGCGGGCTGGGGGCACAGCGCTTACACCACCTCCCTGGGGGACCCTGGCTGACTCCAGGGATGAACGTTGCCCATCACAGCTGGGGAGAGGCCGGTGCAGAGACCTGCTCCGAGCGGGCGGGTTTGCCATGCTGTCTCTGCCCCAGGCTCGGTAGCAAAGGGGGCAGAGGGAGCCCAGCACGTCTGGGGCAGGACTGGTCCATGCTCAGGCCTGAGCCCACCCTCCGTGGCCACGCATGTGCCCAGGTAACACTTCCCACCGCCACGGAGCAGAGCCCCTGGCCAGCAGCGGGGCCAGCAAAAGAAACCAACATGCACAGAGATGGGGCGGGCAGTGCCAGGGACACGTGTGCTTTTGTACACACACACACACACCGGCTTGCACACAGCCGCCTGCACACAATCCCGGCTGTGTGTGCACCAGGTACACACACGCAGCCTTCCATGGGTGATTGTGCACCAGCACACAGACGTGTCCATTCCCCCTTGCACACCCTCCCCCCCCCACACCTTCCCTCTCTGCCTCCACCAGCTCCCCCGACTCACGCTCTGGTCGTCGTCCTCGCTCCTCATGTGGTCTGCGATGAAGCGCACCCCATCCACCGCCTCCTCCACCCCACAGCAGCACTGCTGGCTGGGCGCCGGGGCCTGCCCCTGCCGCTCCCGGTAGCCATTGGCACTGTCAGCTGCCTCGGTGAACTGCCGGCCGCCCCCCGCGCTGAACTTCTGGACGGTGGCCTGGTTGGCAAAGCAGGTGCAGGAGCGGGCGCTCTCCCGCAGGTAGAAGCTGCTGCTAGCCCGCTCCTGGTTCTTCCGGTGCTGACGCAGCCGCTGGCGGGCACAGTTCTGGCGCGGCTGCTTCATGAAGAGGACGGTGGGCAGCTTGTCCAGGAAGACCACCTTGACCCAGGGCGGCATGGTGTGGGTGGTGGGCGAGCGGTGGTGCACGTTGAGCACACACACGCTGGTGACGATGGAGAAGGTCACCAGCACCATGGTGAACATCAGGTACTTGCCCACCAGCGGCACGTCCAGCGAGGTGGGCGGCACGATCTTGGAGATGAGCAGCAGGAAGACGGTGAGGGCCAGCAGCACGGAGATGCAGAGCGTCATCTTCTCACCGCAGTCGGAGGGCAGGTAGAAGACCAGGATGGCCAGTGAGGTGATGAGGATGCAGGGGATGATGAGGTTGATGGTGTAGAAGAGCGGCTTGCGGCGGATGATGAAGTCGTAGGTGATGTCCACGTAGGTGGAGTCGTCGGGGTTCTCGTTCCGCCGCCCCGGCAGGGCGATGATGTCCCACTCGCCGCTGGGCGTGAAGTCGTCCAGGCTGGCCACGTCGCTCTTCAACACCAGGTCGATCTCCGTCCGGTCGTAGGTCCACGAGCGGAACTTCATGGTGCAGTTCTGCTGGTCGAAGGGGAAGTGCTTGACCTCGATCTTGCAGGCGCTCTTGTAGATGGCTGGGGGCAGCCAGAAGATGCTGCCATCGTAGGAGACCACCGCGTTGGAGTAGAAGGAGACCTCGTACATCCCGTCGGCACTGGGGAGCAGGAGAAGGGCCGTCAGGCCGCAGGGATCTCACCCCCCACCAGGACTGTTCTGCCCACCAGCCCAGCGGAGCCGGGTTCCGTCCCCCCGGGCAGCAGCCGCCGGGAGCTGAGGGTAGGGGTGGAAAACACCCAACTGGCTTCCCAGCTCCTGGGAGTGGGGCAGGGACAGCTCCTCTGTGGGTCTGGGTGGAGCTGCTGGGATCTGGCATGGCTGAGAGTGGGGGAACAAGATGTTGCCTCTTCCCACAGGGGACCCGCGTCCCACCCCTGAGGCTCCCCTACAGATCAGGCCAAGTCCGCTCTGGGCAGGACCCTCAGCCAAAGCGAGTGGGCCCAGAGGCTGGGATAGAGGCTGGAGCCGCTGGGGGACGGGGACGGTGGCACCTACTTGTTATAGAGGACGACGTCCGGCAGCCAGATGTGCTTGGAGGGCAGGCGCACCTTCCGCATGTTATCAAAGTCCCCTGGCTTCCAGGTGAGGCGGTAATCCTCCCACTCCTGCGGAGAGCGCGGCAGGGCCTCAGCACCGGCCCAACCCTTCCCCTGCCGCCCAACCGGCCCTGCCCGGCCCTGCCACCCAACCAGCCCTGCCCGGTCCCCACCGCCCAACCGGTCCCGCCCGCCCCTTCCCCTGCCGCCCAACCAGCCCTTCCCCTGCCGCCCAACTGGCCCTGCCCGGCCCCTGCCACCCAACCGGCCCTTCCCCCACTGCCCAACCAGCCCTGCCTTGCCCTTGCCGCCCAACCGGCCCTTCCGCTGCTGCCCAACCGGCCCTGCCCGGCCCCTGTCACCCAACCGGTCCTGCCCCTTCCCCTGCCGCCCAACCAGCCCTTCCCCTGCCGCCCATCCGGCCCTGCCCGGCCCCCACTACCCAACCGGCCCTTCCCCTGCCGCCCAACCGGCTCTGCCCTGCTCCTGTCGCCCAACCAGCCCTGCCCAGTCCTGCCACCCAACCAGCCCCACCCGGCCCCTACCCCTGCTCCTGCCACCCAACTGGCCCGGGTTCTGCAGCCCCAGCTCTGGGGTGAGGGGAGGGACCCCAGGCTGGCGCTCCCCCCACCCGAGTGCCTGCACCCCCCCCCACAAGCGGCCTGGGCCTCAGGCCAGGGCGTGGCTGGGGGAGCTTCCTGCCTGGCGTAGGGTTGGGACCCTCCCTCCCTTTGTTTCTGGAGCAGGCAGGAAGTTGGGGGGGAGGGTGTACGGGGGATGCAGCGCAGTGGGGGCAGAGTGAGCTGTCCAGGGGAAGGGGTGACCCCCACCCTACCCCACGCCAGGCGTCTCACCTGTGTCAGCCACACGTTGGTCGTCATGATCTGCTCCCGCTCGTGCTGCAAACAGGACCGAGGCGGCGTTAGCAGGGTCGGGCACAACGGGGAGGTAGGCCCAGCCCTCAGCAGGGCGTGGGGGCAGACGGCAGGCCTGGGGCTGGCCGCTATGGGCAGGGGCAGCCAGGCAGAGAGAGCTCGGAGAGGTCAAACCGCACCCCCTCCCTTTATGCAGTGCAGCCCGGCCCCCAGCGCCCCCCAGCAGCGCCGGAGCCTCCTGTGCTGGCTGGGCCAGACGCAGGCCATTGAGCGTGTGCGTGTGTATACCTGCGTGCAAATGCACGAGTGTGCACAGTGAGCCAGCGTCTCCCTACGCACGGGGGTGCACGCGCACTGGCGTGTCCCCGTGCGAGGGGGCTACACACACACGTGCCTGTACGGGGGTGTTTGCAGCCCGTGCCTGGCGTGAGAGACTGACGCTCAGCACAGCCCCCCCCCCCATGCCAAGTGCCTTCACCCCTCCAGGACCCGGTCTCTGCCCAGGGCAGCAGGTGCGAACCCCGCGCTGTGCCGCAGACCCAGCAAACTCACCACACTGATGAGCTGGGCCAGCGACACCATGAGCTGCACGGTCACCAGCTCCGAGCCGTTGGTGGCCGGGCGGATCAGCTTGTTGTAGCGGGATGGGTCCAGGAGGTGCTCAACCAGCCGCTCCTCCGTGTCGGTGCCCAGGCTTCCTGCAGGCAAGGGGGGGACAAAGGGGTGAGACCCCAGTACCCAGCCTCCTTGTCCCCACACAGCACCCCTTCCAGCCTGGCCTGCCCCACACCCCACTGGCCAGGTCCTGCTGGTCTGGCCCCAAATATTCCTCCCTTCCCAGCTCCCAGCTGTGGCCCAGGGGGTGGGGATCCCAGCTGCAGCGTCTGGAGAAGGGTCCAGCGAAGTCGCGGCTGCTGGAATGCCAACCACCAGCTCCGAGATGGGCTCGTTCGGGTGCCTGGGGGGCCTAACGCCCGGCTCGCCCAGCCCAGCATGCAGGGGGCTCCCAGCTCAGTCCGAGTGCGGTGGCCATACCCCCGCTGCCCCGAGGGACGGGACCCCCGCCAAGTGCTGGGCACTGCCCTTGGGCCCCCGCCAGGAAGAGCCCTGACAGTTTGATCAGCCAGGAGCATGACCCACACCGCTGAGCCTGCAGGATCCACCCGCCGTGGGGCAGCCCCTGAAGGCTGCGGTGGGGCGGGAGAGAGACCACTCCGAGCCTGGCATGGCTGGGGCAGGGACAAGGGCAGCCACCCGTCTCTCTCGGTAGTTACAATGCACCAATGGCTGGCCCCTCTAGGCTAACCAGGCCCCTGGGGCTCGCCCCCCTGGAAGGAGGGAGGGGGCTGAGTGGCCTTTCAAAGGACCTGGTTGCTTACTGGGGGTGAACAGGCAACACCTGTTTGTACCCCCCCACCCCGCTCCGAGAGTGCTGGACAGAGACAGGCCCAGCCCGCCCTGCGTTGTCTGCAAAGCGCTAAACAATGCTGCAGAAAGCGTCTGAGCAGAGAGCTTGGAACCGGCACCCCGCAATTCCTACGCCCAAGTCCCCCACCTCTCCCTGCCCTCCACCCCCTGCCCCCACGGCCGCTCTGCAGCCCAGGGACATACACCCGCCTCCCTGTGCTGTGGGCAGAGGCTCTGGCTCGTGGGGGTGGGGGCAGCAGGCTGTTCCCGTGGAGGGTTCGTTCCAGCTATGGGGGCCCTTCAGCCCGTCTTGGGACCCAGTCCCCTCGTCACCAGCCCCGCTCGGGGAGGGCCGGGCATGGAGGGGTAACGGTCTGAGCGGTTTTCAGTGAGCGGCAGGGTGTGACCCCTGGTGTCCCGGGCAAATCTCAGCGTGGGGTGTGATGTTCACCCTCCCTAAACTGCCCGACAGGCTCCCTTAGATACAGGATTTGCCTTTCCTGTCAAACTCTTGGCAGCGTTGCTGTGTGGCTGTTAAACAGCCCTCATGCCCCACCCCAGAAGCAGCTGCATCTGGGTGCTGGGTGAGAAATCCCTGGATAACCAGCCCCCGCACCTCACCCCAGAGGTGGCTGCATCTCGGTGCTGGGTGACCAGTTCCCTCTCTCAGTCTGTAAAGCAGTTTGGGGTGAAAGGGGAGTTAGAAATGTGACCTATTAATATAACTGCGATAGTGGGTCTTGCAGCTAAGACAGACACACAGAGGAAGCAGACCTACAGACAGACAGCAGGAAATGGGGCTTATTCTACAGCCCCCCCCCAGCGCCCTGTGCTCAGAGCCCCATGGCTGGGAATGGCCGCCCGCATGTGCGCACGGATCCCGTCCCATCAGCCCCCAGCCTCCTGTCTGAGCCAGGCCGGAGCCCTGGCTTCTTGGGCCGCTCGTCCCCAGAGCAGCTCGGCGCCCGCCCGTCCTTGGGGATGAAGGCGCCGGTGACTGACAGGCCGCTTCAAAGGGCCTGTAATGAGCCTCGCCCGCGGGGTCAGGGCCTGCGGAGGATTCTGGGGCTGGCGCTCGGGTGCCGTCTCATCTTGCCGCCTCCTGGACGCCGCTGATAGCTCTGTGCTCGCGGGCCCTCTGCCCCTCATTACGCACCGCCTTTGTAGCCAGCCCTTGCAGCCGGCTCCGGCCTTATCACTAATCACCAAGGAGCCAAACCCAGCCGCAGCAGGGCTACGCCGCAGGGGATTTGGCCCAGTGAGTGCAGACGCTCACCATGGGCAGAGGGATGCCAGGCAGGGCGGAGGCCTCATGCCACTGATGTCCCCCCCCTGCCCCAGTTCTGAGCCTCAGCGAGTGGGGCCTGGGCCTGGGGGCTGCTGGGGGAGGGGAGCATGCAGGGGGGTGAGTGCCTGATGGGGAGGGCCCAGCTGCAGGGGTGCTTGGGCCAGGTGCTGGCTCTGGTCCGGAGGCTGCCCCGTGTTCAGCCTCACCCTCCTGCCTTCCCTGTGCCCGTGGGTGTGTCCGTCTGTCCATCCATGCGCCACCTCCCCGGGCACTCCCCTGTTGTGAGCCATGTCGCCGGCTCCGGGAGCCCCAGCAGGCGTGCGGGGAGAGCCCGGGGGACCAGGCTCAATGGCTGAAGGGGCCCAGCCTGCATCCCCCCCTCAGCTGCTCCATCCTGCCCCACATGGGGCTGAGGGGGCCGGTCTCACCAGCCTGCTGGGTACCGGCCTGGGAAGGGGAGAGGGAGGCAGAGCAGGGGGCTGCCCCAGCCAGGGGCCCAGCTCTGCCCTCCCTTGGTGCCTGTCGCTCTACATACCCCACCCCCCTCGTCCCAGTCCTGCTTGTCAGTGTCAATCCACCGCTCCTCCTGCCCTTCCAGCCTGCCCCACCCCACCAGGAGCTGCCCCAGCCAGCTCCCAACTGCCTCCCGGCCAGGCTGCAAAGGGTGCAGCGGCTGCTAAGTTTCAACATAACCCCTCTCAGCTGGGGGGCAGCAGGCCCGGGGCCTGCTGGGCGCAGAGCTCGCTCTGGGGCTGGCCCTGTGGGGGCTGGAGGGTGAGTGCAGGGCTGCAAGTAAGACCCAGCACCCACTGCAGTAGAGAAACCTCCCCCTCTCCTGCCCCCCCGCTCCTAGAGGGCATGGCAGCTCAGCGGGGGAGCAGGGCGAGCTCCCGGGCCCAGGAGCTGAACAATGGCAGGGAGGGCTGCAGCTCTGGTCGGGGCTGGGCGCTGGGTGCTGGAGGGAATGGCTGCACCCCGTGTAGATCTCAAAGCACTTGGCTCAGGAGGCCAGTATCATTTTATAGGTGGGGAAACTGAGGCACAGAGACAGTAAGTGACTTGCCCCAGGTCCCCCAGCAGAGCCAGGCAGGGAACCCGCATCTTCCGAGTGCTGGGCCAGTGGGCTAGGGCAGGCCACTAAGCCACACGGCCGCTCCCCTTCCAGCTGACGTCCCAGGCCAAGCCTTGGTAAGGCTCTGCTCAGCTGCCCCCCGCCCCGCTGGGTAACAATCCATCACGTTCCCCTCCGAAGCCAGGACACGACACCAGCGTTTCCGGACAGTGCAACCACGTGTCTGGGCCGGGGCTCAGGCAGGCCGCAAAGTGCAGCGAGGGCTTGATACCGAGAGCTCTGAAATATCGATCTAGGGACAATGCCAAGCCCGAAAATGCATTTTCCAGACAGAGATGGGGGGAGGGGCACAGAAACAAACTGCATTCCTCAGACTCGTTTTCCCTGACTGTGCTGACCGGAGCTCGGAAATATGTACACAGGGGGGCTGGTCCGTGAGAGGCTGAGGATCGGGACTGGGACACGGGGCCTTTCCCCTGTAGGGGGCACCGGCTCCGATCCAGCCCTGGGGCAGGGGACTGGCTGGCTCAGGGGGGCAGGGAATGGGACACGGGGCCTCTCCCCTGTAGGGGTCACCGGCTCCGATCCAGCCCTGGGGCAGGGGACTGGCTGGCTCAGGGGGTCAGGGAATGGGACACGGGGCCTTTCCCCTGTAGGGGTCACTAACTCCCATCCGGCCCCAGGGCGGGGACTGGCTGGCTCAGGGGGGCAGGGAATGGGACACGGGGCCTTTCCCCTGCAGGGGTCACTGACTCCCATCTGGCCCCAGGGCAGGGACTGGCTGGCTCAGGGGGGCAGGGAATGGGACACGGGGCCTTTCCCCTGCAGGGGTCACTGACTCCCATCTGGCCCCAGGGCAGGGACTGGCTGGCTCAGGGGGGCAGGGAATGGGACACGGGGCCTTTCCCCTGCA